ATCAACAAAAGCATTTATCATTACAAGACCTAACATCCCATGCTGAGACATTCTGGAGACCAATTCTCACTTCAGACCCCTACTCAATAAGTGAAATGCAACGTGAAGAACAGGAAAGGCATTTATCATTACAGGATATAACGTCCCATACTGGAATATTTCGAAGACCAATTTTACCTAGTGATTTAGAATTTCTTTATTGGTAACAGCGAGAACATCAGAATCAAAATTTTGTTCCTCTATCACATAAATCACACCCGAATAAGGGAGTATTACCAGTCGTCTATTCAGAAAAAGTGGTACAGAGTAGTCTAGTCAGTAATGCATTTCCTAACGCACATTTAGCGAATATCGTTGGGATAATTCGATCACTTCGAACTGGAGATGATATGCGACATACATCAGGGCTAGATTTCTTTGATTCTATTAGACACCTCTTTACTTCAGAAAGATCTGTCCCCTTGTAAAAAAATCTAACTTTCTCACACAAACAAGATTTTATATGACACTTGAATCAGACGTTACCTAAATCTGCTAAAGCTGATCAATATAATATTCACGTTTATAGTTCTGCCCCTTCATAAATTTCAACAGAAAGATCGAATCCAGATACTCTTTGGCAACATACTTATGAAAATTTACTTATATTTGGGCCACCTCTTCTTGAATGGCGAAGTCATACCGATGATGCAATGGCTTTAGGGAATTCAACTGAAACTGTTTTCAGATCTAATGCATCTGGAGGGTATTATACTGCTCCCACTGGACCTAAAACTTTACGCACGTACAAAGAAAGTAACTCTATAAATTTACATGACGGATTGGTTAATTCCTTTTAAAAAAGATAAGTTAATTGTATATGTTTATATATTTTATTTATTGTTAAACTATAATTCGATCTAATCATGCTGTATATCTAAAACTTCATAAATTTTAACAAAAAAAGCTATTAATCATCATGAAATAGTAGTGAATAAAGTCTAAAGTACTAGCCCTCAAGGAAT